AGAGAGGGAGACTCAGAGTTTGAAACGACTTAGACGAGTGACGATTGAGAGAGGAAGGCTAAGAGAGGGAAGAATGACAAGTGAGAGAGAGATCTGAGAGTGATGGAGGCACAAGGGTTAATAGTTGAAGTGAAGTGAAAGTTTGAACTCTAAAGAGTGAAAAAAAATACTAACCCTAGTTAAATATATTTATGTATATTCGGGTTCAACCTGATTTTAATATTCTGGTTGAACCTAACAACTTGAGGCCTCTGACTTGATCCGAAATGTGTACACCCAAGTGCAAGTGGTCAAGCTGTAGTAATAATCTGGTTAAGTCCGAAGTCGAATCCACATGGAATTATAATTGGTGTTTTGAAGTAAGCAGTAATAAAGACCAAGTAACTGGAAACTTTGAGAGTTTGAAGTTGTGAGATTTCTTAAATAGAATAGAAGATTCTTTCCAAGAGTTTTTTAGACAAAATATAAGATAAATTCAAATGTAAAACAGTCGCCCTTTAGCTTGAGGATCAGAACATGTAGTTAATCATCCGGTTTATTATACTTGTGCTTTATAATTCAATTAACTCCCGTGTCAACAACAAGTTAATCGGAAGGTAAAGATGGACTGTGAGAATTAAACACATGATTCTGATGCCTTTCTAGAAGTTGACAAGAATTGTCTATGCTGAGATTTAACCCGTCTACAAACAAGTAAGTGTTTCTACAAGGCATCCAACTATGGCGTTAATGTTTCATTCTTTAGATAAAGCACAATAATAGTGAAGATGAAAATGTGTCATGAAGATCTAGCTGAGGTACTTGCCTTGAACCAACAGGTTTTTCCATGCAAGAGTCATCCGTGACATGAAAAGAACTCATAGTAATACAAAGTACCTTAGCTTTGCTAAATGCATTCAATCCTTCAATAAGTGAAATATAAAGCATTAAAACATAAAGAAAATGCACAAATATAGCTTCCGGATAATCAATACATGTTCATCACCTCTTACTAAAGAGTAAATGAGGAACTACTTACTCTTCATGACTTGGGTAAAGCTAGAAAAGTGAGTGATACTCATCCCTCCAAGTAGAAAACTTACAAGGTAAAGTACAATAAGCGAAGAGCCGATCTTCACCAAAGAATAAGTGAATCACACCCTTCACGGTTTTGGTAAAACTCTAGCAAAATGGAAGAGTTTCACTCCTCTAAGGAAGAAGGAAGCTTAAGCAATAGAAGTGAAAGACATAAATAATGAAAGCAGGAGAAAACTAGTCACTACTTGGAGGGTGGCTTCCTCAACCAACAAGTGGAGGGTTGCTTCCTCAACCAAAAGATGGAGGATTGCTTCCTCAACTAAGAAATGAACTAACTCTCTTGATACAAGTAAATATAACATACATCTAAAATTAATCAAAATGAGTGGGAGTCTAAGCCTCCATACAAACTCCTTACAAGTTCTTGGTGTAGTCTAGGCCTACTAACCAAGCTCTAGCTCCTTACTTTACAAGAGAAATTTTTTTTTTGCACCCATGAAGCTCCCCTAATGGGAGTATTTATAGGAAAAAGAAGGGGAGGGGGGAAGATAAGAGAGGATGAATAATGTATGCCGCCCAGTTTAAGTGAAAACCAACTACTCTACAGGCAGTCTATGGAGGACATTCGAACGTGAGTTGACATTTGAACGTTATTTTTGTTTTGGCTTTATGGACGTTTGAACGTGGTCTGACGTTCGAACGTGTCTTCTGTCTTTGCTTTAGGGTCGTTCGAACGCCAGATGGAGTTTGACCATATAACTCAAGAGGTCGCTGGTCTTCTGTGGAAACCCACTTCCACACTTCATGCAGAACTTGGCGTTTTGCACTCATCACTTTGGTCTTCAATCAAATCAAGTGGACGTTCGAACATGGTATTCAAGTACCTCAGAGTTTTTTTTCTTGCCTGTAACACGCCATGTCTCAGCAGTCTGGTCTCCTTATAGTTCAAGTGGACGTTCGAATGTGAGTTGGCGTTCGAATGTTCTTGCTTTGTTCCAACCTTCTCCAATTTTGTTCTCCAATTTTGTTCCCTTATGCACTGGTATTACACTCAAGTGTGATATTTGTTGTTCTTGAGCCTTTGTTCACTTTAGGACCTAAAATGTCATCACTTAAACTCCATGAAAGTATAATTAGTCCTAAAAAGATATAGCAATATGTTAAATTTAAGTACTAATTAGTCTTAACTCGAGACTTGCCCAAATTCAATTCGGATTGAGGTTTTTTGTCCAAACCCAACCGACGTATTAAAAATCTTAACCCATGCCCTATTTTTTTCGAGTTGGGTTCGGGTTGAATTCGAGTTGGCTCGCCCAAGTTACACCCCTAACTAAGATGATTGTCTAGCCCCACAAAAAATTTACCCTTTTATTAGGTCCATTTTTTATTTATTCTGAATTTCAGATAGGATCCAAATTTTTAGGGCTCTAAATTTTAAGAGTTTAGTTTTATCAGGTCCAAAATTACTCTTTATTTTGTTAAACACAATAAAATCCCTTAAAAAAAAAACTCTATTATAAATATGAAACTTAATCCAACTCAACAATTTTGCATCTCTAATGCTCTGTCTCTCTACATGCATAGCTTATAGAATATTGTTAATCATACTTATAGTAGTTGCTTTAGCAAAAATGAACTTTTGAAAAATTAAATTAATACATTCTCATTTACGGTCAACTATGTCACAAGAAAAATTGAATGAATTAACTATATTATCTATTGGGAAGGAATTGTTGACAAAACTTAAATATAAGAACTTGATCAATATTTTTGCATCTCAAAAAGTAAGAAAAATAATTTTTAAATAAATAAAAAATTAAAAATAGTATATATATATTAATACACGAAATATTAATAGTGTCCCGTGTAAAATTTTTACTTAAGGCCTGCCGTTTATGTTGGGTCGCCCGGTAAGACATTGGCCCTTAGATAATTTTTGCCATTATTTTTAGTCTTTTATACCTATAATGATTCCATAAAAATATTGTCCATGTAATGAAATGACTCTTGATAAATGAGATACTAATAAAATAATGCCTTTTTTTAATTATTACCCATATCCCAATAAAATAATCAAAGAATTTTAGAGGAAAAATCTTGATAATATTAACATAAAAGTTCTTGGTAGTCAGCGGTAAAAAGTTAATAAAAATTACTACTTTTTTGATTATACCTAATAAACACTTTCTAACAAGCAAAGAAACTAAACGTTGAAAAGTCTAAAGGAGCTTAAAAGGACTTCAACGATGATTTGTTTCGCTATTGAAGTACAAAATTACTGATGTAATGTAAAAATGAATGAAGTTGTTTTATTATCAATTATCAATAAAGTTTGAAATTTTGGTTAATTTTTTAGATTTGGGAAGAGTATAATATTTATTAAATTGTGCAGTACATTTTTGGACATAAACTATGATATGTTTTTGATTTAGTGATTGTTTGCAGTTTTTTTTTTTTTGATGTGTTGTTTATATATAATATATGCTTGATTAGTGTTTGCCTTGGTGTTTTTTTTTAGTTTTGATATAGTTTAGACGCTATAAATTAGGATCTAACAAGTATAATAAAGTTTATGTTATTGGAATGAATTTTGGTGAAATTGAGCTCCAATGACAAAATGTTAATTCCGTCCCAAATCGTTGTGAAACTCACGAACAAGCTTGACACTGAAGGTGTAGTCATTCATTGGCATGGAATCTGACAGGTTGTACTCTCTCTCTCTCTCTCCGTCTGTTACATTAACCCTAAAACATGAGACTCAATTGTATGGGAGAGATATGACAATGCTTTTCGTCCAACTTCATTCATTTAAAATTCAAACTTAATTTACTATCTCAAGGTTATTAAAATATGAGCTTATATACAAGTTGGATTTAACCTTAGTTCAAAAGCTTAAGTCTTAAGCTCAAACTCAAATGGTTGTTCAAAATTTGAATATTAAACAATTTTTTTTTCTTCAATAGTCAATGCATGAAAACAGTTACATTATTTGGTTCTTATTTTTCGTTCTGGTAGCATTTTACACCTCTCCCTTCCTGTGTGTATTTCTATTTTGGTACTTAAGGAGGCATCTTTGCCTGTGAATTGGACAAGGTTATTTAACCATACTTCTGGTGTATTTAACCATACTTCTATTCTTTTGTATAATTTCAGTTTAGGACGCCATGGTCTGATGGAACTGCATCCATCTCCCAGTGTGCAATTAAACCTGGAGAAACCCTTGTCTACAGGTTCAAAGTAGATAAGGTACACCACAATAATTATGGAAAAATCCAGCATTTAATTTTTGGCGTTTAATTTAAACGTCATTAAAACTGGCGTTTGTTTCTACACGCCAAAAAATATTAATAAAAATAATAAAAAAAATTCACTTAATTTCCGACGTTTAAGTCAAACGCCACAAATTCTTAATTAAAAATAATAAAAAAAAAAAAAAAATTTCCTCCTCCAACATAAACCTAATAAATTTTTTTTTTTTCGTTTAATTCCTCAAATTCTTAATTTAAAATAATAAAAAAAAAATTTTCTCCCCCAACATAAACCTAATTTTTTTTTTCGCTTAATTCCGGGCGTTTAATCAAACACCACAAATTCTTAATTAAAAATAATAAAAAAAAAATTTTCTCCCTCAACATAAACCTAATAAAAAAAAATTGCGTAATTTCCGGCGTTTAAGCCAAACGCCACAAATTTTTAATCAAAAATAATAAAAAAAAAACTTTTCTCCCCCAACATAAACCCAAATTTTTTCCTAATTCATTCTCTCAACTTCTCTCCTCAGGCGACAACTCCTCACCGGCTCTCTCAGGCGACAACTCCTCACCGGCTCTCTCAGGCGACAACTCCTCACCGGCTCTCTCAGGCGACAACTCCTCACCGGCTCTCTCAGGCAACGACTCCTCACCGACTTGTTGTGTGTGTGTGTGTGTGTGTTAGAGAGAGAGAGAGAGAGAAAGAGAGAGGCCGTAGGTCTGTGTAAGACAATGCAGGTGAGTTTATAGTGGTGTTTCATCTTCATATGTGTATTTATAATTTCTTTGAATAGTATGTTTTGGATTTGTTGTGATTTTTCATTGTATTGTTTCAGACAAGAGTAGTATAAGTAGGTCAAGTATCAGATCTAGCCAGTGAGAGAGAAATTCACGAGTTTTTCTCATTTTTCGATGAAATCGAATACAGTGAGATCCACCAGTTCGTTGTTTTTTCATATTTATACTCTATGTATATGTGTGTGTGGTGTATTTTAAGGTTTTGAGATTAAGGCTTGATTTTGGCTGTTGTTTATGTATGGAGTGCAGCAACTCTGGGCAATCGAAGGCTGCATTTGTCACATTTAGAGATCCAAAAGCGCTTGAAATCGCATTGGTAATTCCTCGATTTTACTTTTAACTCCTGCTGGAAACTATGTACCACAGCCAGAGATTTAGGTAATTCTTTCCATTAATGCTGCAATATTTTTTCAAATATTGAAATGAAATTTATATTGTCGGACTAATTCATGTAGGTGCTGCCTAGCTTTGGACCAAATGAAAGTGGTAGCATCGGTAGTTTGGTTCAGCCATGTCTCTTCCCAAAGTTGTACATGAATCACTTTAGGTTGGTTGTATCAAAGCACTAGATACCTGAAATTGGAGATTTTTATTTTGAGTTGGCTGTTGGATATGAGTTAGATCTCAAGACTAATGCTTAGGCAGATGGTTTAGCCAAAGGGAATTTGAATTCCTTACAACTAAGGGGGAATTTTGTTCCCTTTTGGGCTTCAGTTTGTTAGTGGAACGAGGATAGGTTTTTACTGTTAAGTGCTTTCTATTTTGATTCATTGTTTATTCTCCGGAAAGTTCCTTGTTCATTGTCATTACTGAAGGAAGATCATTTTTCCCTTGTTTCTCTTTCCGTGGAGGGAAGTTTGAGTAGTTTCCTCTGCAAAAGAATAAACACGATGATAAAAGGACAAGGACAAGAAATGTTCAAACATGTTTGCATGCTTAGCAGTTTAAAAACCTTTGTTATCAGATGCCTAATCTGATCATTATTTGTAAACATATCAGCTTTTGGTGTCAAAAAGATGAATTCTAGAAAACAATCATTGAGGCACAACTGCTTATATTGCTCATATATGCTTATATTACTCTAGAAAACAATCATTAAAGCCATTGCTTTCTTCACACACACACACAAAATTCTATCTCTCTCTCTGAATTATTGGTGAATTTTTCTTCTCAATTTTATTTTATAACTAGGGCAAATAATGTACATCTTTTTTCAGTATGTATTATATTTGTTGTATATATGGAGCTTTACGTGTGGTATGTTGTGGTATAGGCTGGAACATATTTCTACCATGGACACTATGGGATGCAAAGGTCAGCAGGCTTGTATGGATCTCCGATGGTGGATGTGGCAGAGGGAGAGAGAGAGAGAGAGAGAGCCTTTTCATTATGACGGAGAGTTTAGTCTGTTACTCAGTGATTGGTGGCATAAAAGCTCTCAATTAAAATGTATGTGGCTGGCTGAAATGTTTGGTTTGGACAAAATAATATGTATTGTGAAATATTTTTGTATACTATAAGAGGGTTAATTGTATTAAAGGTCCCCAAAGTACGTGGTTTGTTTCATTTTGTTTCTAATATTTCAATTGTATTATTTTGGTTATTGAATATATTTCTATATGGTCTTTTAAATAGACAATGTTCAGATTCCTAACAATTTTTTATCATAAATTTATCACATAATACATAAATATGGACAAAAAAAAAGAATTTTGATAGCTTTTAAACAAAATTTGGGTAGCTTTTAAAAAAAAATGTATAATATAGGTAATTTTTTACCAAAACTTAAATAGATCAGTATCAAAACTGTATAATTTTGATAGTAATTTAACCAAAATTTAAGTAGAATTTGATCAAGAATTATCCAAATTATTTTTTTGTGTATATTTAAGTATTACGTGACAAGTTTATGATAAAAAATCGTTAGCAATTTGGACATTATTTGCTTGAGGGACCATATAGAAATGTATTTAACATTTTAAGGACCAAAATAATATAATTTAAACATTGGGAACCTGAGACAAATTCTATACTTTAGGGGTCTTCAATGCAATTAATCCATACTAAAATCTAAGATTGAATGATTTGAACCATTATTGTATTTTATACAAAGAGAATACTCTAATTATTACGTGGATATAACTCTAAACTCGATAGAGCCTTTATTACCTCTATAAAAATAAGTATATTTTACTTCAAAAGAAAAAAGCAAAATAGAGGAGGGCAAGGGTAACACTCATTTAAAATAACAATTGTGTATTTGAATACAATCTTCGGTGAGTTATAAAGATTGGGTCAAAATATTTGTTCATGGTCTTGCACTCCTCCTTCCCGTGGGACATTAGCATTGACACCTAAATCCTCAAAGTTTTCACCGACATCTTTGGGTGAGTCTTGATCAATATTCATGTTTGGCCTATGGGTCATCTAACCAATCTTTATAACTCACTGAAGATTGTATTCAAATACACAATTGTTTTTTTCAATGAGTGTTACCCTTGCCCTCCTCTATTTTGCTTTTTTCTTTTAAAATAAAATATACTTATTTTTATAGAGGTAATAAAGGCTCTATCGAGTTTAGAGTTATATCCACATAATAATTAAAGTATTCTCTTTGTATAAAATACAATAATGACTTTTTTGAGGGTGGGCATGTGCCCCTGGGTATATGCTTGTTCCGCCCATGCTTAGGGCAATCTGGAGACCATAGCATATACTCCACATCCCATTTGAAAATGCCTGGTCTTATACCCCAAAGATAAATTAACCAAAATTACCAAACAAACCAAAATATAACATCCCTTATAGGCCTTGAACATGGGTCACCCGTAGAGCTATTAAACAAGTCAAGTTTGAACATTTTTTTAGACTCGTTTATGTGTAAATAGTCGAACTATTAGGCTCGAATTCAACTCGATTAACACCCCTAGTCATCCGAAGAACCCATGTTCCCCAACACCAAAACTATAAGAAGAGAACGAAGGGCAGCTTGACCACTTACTGCCACTGCCCTTTTTCTCTCAAGGCCTGGCGTCTTGATTCCCTCGTTTAAGTATGAAATAATATTTATGTCTTTTTATTTATCAACAACATTAGAAAAAAAAAAAAGTGGTTGAGGAGATGAAACATGAAGAGGAAAAGGAAAAAAAGAGGAAATTTCAAAGTTGGTGCATGTAAGTTTGCATAAATGTCCGATTTTGTCAAAACTAATCATTATGTGCATGGAATACCATAAACACCAACCTTCTATATTGGATGAATTGAATGTTAATTTAGTGATAATTTGATAAATTAAAATTTTATTGGATGAAATTGAATGTTAGGTTAATTTGATGAATTAAATATTTATTAGATAGAATTGAATGCGAATTTAATGAATTGAATATTAATTTTGTGTTAATTTGATTATTTGAAAGTTAATTTGGTATTAATTTAGTGTTAATTTGATGAAATGAATATTAATTGAATAAAATTGAATCTTAATTTGATGAATTTAATGTTAAATACTTAATTTAATGAATTGAATATTTTATTATAAGAAATGAAATGTTAATTTGTTGAATTTGATGTTGATTTGATGAATTAAATATTTATTCGGTGAATTTTTATATTACATTGGTGTTGGTTTGATAAATTGAATTTTTATTAGAAGATTTTAAATGCTAATTTGATGAATTGAGTGTAAATTGCATGAATTTGAATATATATTGGATGAATTGAATGTTAATTTAGTACTAATTTGATGAATTAAAATTTTATTGGATAGACTTGAATGTTAGGTTAATTTGATAAATTAAATATTTATTAGATAGAATTGAATGTGGATTTAATGATTTGAATATTTATTTTGTATTTATTTGATGAATTGAATGTTAGTTTGGTGTTGATTTAAAAATTTTAATGTTAATTTGGTGTTAATTTGATTAATTAAATGTTAAATAGTTAATTTGAATATTAATTTAATGAATTGAATGTTTATTATAGGAAATGAGATGTTAATTTCTTGAATTGAATGTTAATTTGCTATGGATTTGATGAATTAAATCTTTATTGGATGATTTTTTATTTTAGTTTGATGAATTGAATTTTAACTTAATGAATTAAATATTAATTGGATTAATTGAATTTTAATTTGATGTTTATATGATGAATTGAATGTTTATTTGATGAAATTGAGTGTTTGTTTGATATAAATTTGATGAATTGAATACTAATTTGGTATTGATTTGATGAATTAAATGTTTATTGGATGAAATTGTATGTTATTTTGATGTTGATTTGTTAAATCTAACCTTTATTAGATGATTTTCGATGCTAATTTGATAAATTGAGTGTTAATTTAAAGAATTTAAATATAAATTAGATGAATTGTCGTGTTAATTTGATGAACTAAATATTAATTGAATGTGACTGAATGTAAAGTTGATGAATTAAATGTTTATTAGATGAAATTGAATGTTGATTTGAAGAATTGAATGTTAATTTATTATTTATTTAAAAAATTAAATTTTTATTGGATAAAATTGTATGTTACTTTAGTGTTAATTTATTAAATTGAATCTTTATTGGAGGATTTTCAATGTTAATTTTATGAATTGAATGTTAATTGAATGAATTTGAATATAAATTGGATGAAATTGAATGTTAGATTGATGAATTAAATTTTTATTAGTTGAATTTTAATGTTAATTTAATGAATTAAATATTTAATAGGTAAAATTAAATATTGATTTGTACAATTGAGTGTTACTTTTGTGTAAATTTAATCAATTGAGTATTAATTGGATGAAATTGCATGTTACTTTGATATTGATTTGATAAATTGAATATTTATGGAATGATTTTGGATGTTAGTTTGATTAATTAAGTGTTAATTGAATAAATTTGAATATAAATTGGATGAATTAAATCTTAATTTGGTGTTAATTTGATGAATTGAATATTCATTAGATGAGATTGAATATTAAGTTGATGAACTAAATGTTTATTAGTTGAATTTTAATGTTAATTTGATGAATTAAATGTCTATTACATAAAATTGAATATTGATTTAAAGAATTTAATGTTAATTTGGTGTAAATTTGATGAATATAATATTAATTAGATTAAATTGCATGTTATTTTGATTTTGATTTGATAAGTTGAATCTTTATTGGATGATTTTGGATCATAAAAGTCGTCTGAGACTATTTAAACACAAAATTGAATATTTTAGAGATAAAATTAGTAAATTACTATTTTTGGAACCATAAATATATATAACTTTAAGGATAAAAGGGTAATTAACCTTTTTAAAAAAAAAATATTACGACCAACCCTAGGAAGCGACGATTGGTCGTAGTTTAGCAAAGAAGACTTACATTCTCATCCTTAAAATTATACATATTTATTAGTTTGTCTTTAAAATATTTAATTCTGTGTTCAAATAGTATTAGATAAACATTTGACATCCAAAATCATCCAATAAAGATTCAAGTTATCAAATCAAAACCAAACTGATAATCCAATTAATATTCAACTCATCAAAATTTAAACAAAATTAACATTCAACTCTTCAAATCAAATTCAA